TTTCCTGAGATGGTCAGTTAAATTTATGAAATAAGGTACATTTAAATAACACCTTTAAAATATTTCCTGATAGAATGGCCACCAGGTAGCCTTGATTTGAATCTAGAAGTTATATCTTCCATTTTTATTTCTCTCGCTAATGTAACTATATCCACCCATATTACTTCAACGACAGTGTTGATCCCTTTTCGTATTCTCTAGGTCAAGGTAAAAGAGTACTTCATTGTAACTGCAAGTACTGAAGTTGACAAAAATACTTCATTAATGCTTTGTGAAGAAAAACCGAAAAAATAAAAATAATGGACTGTAAGAGAGTAACTTAAAAACAATAGGTGTTACAGCCTGCCACGCAAATTTTGCCTCTAGCGAAAGAACAGAAACAAAGAAGGGAGAAAAGAGGGAAGAATGGAAAAAACTAAAATTATTTCATTATTTTTAATTTTGTTTAATTAAAATTTCTAGTTGGGAAATTTTGCCAATTGATCCTCAGTCAGTATTTCCCACCCCCAAGGGTTCCCCTACATTTTATGTTTTTCCCACATAGGAGCAAAGTTTTCTGAAAATAGCAATAAGTGTAAGTAGAGCTGGTGAATTATTCTTTTTAAATAATACAATTGGTCTATCCTTTCAAGTGTCATTTAGCACATTTAAAATGCATCTGATTTTATTATAAAAAGGTGAAATTATAATATATTACAAATTATAAATATGTCTATATTTATTTCTAGACATATAGGAAAGATTATTTTCCAGGAATTTGTTTTAAAATACAAGAAAGTCCAATGGGAGAATACACGAATAAATTCTCACATAGTTGCTTTCCTGTATTATCTATCAGAGTGTCACTTTTTATGAGTTTTTCTGCCTCTTAGAAAGCTCTTCAGTTGCCCCAAAACCCTAAAAGAAGCTTGCTTTATCTTGCTGTTTCCTGAAATTGTGATAAATGAATGGCCTAAAACATAGAAAGATACTATTTACTTATTAAACCTCAATATCAGCTGGCTAGCAGACAATATGTGACCATAAACTACTATATGAATTGAGATGATATAAATCAAAAAGAGAAACAAGAAAGAGGTCACCATTCTCATGGCTTTTATATGAGCTTCAGCGCTGGGATCTTGGGACACTGTGATATAGAACCTCATCCTCTTGCTATGTCTCCAAAGAGAAAGAAGTAACCAAATAAATTATGCTATCGAAATAGTTATGGGAATTATGATCTCAGTGTTCATGAGTACTAAGTAAATAATGGTCTGCTCTTCATACACTTTGAAATTCCAAGTCTTGTTTGTTTCTCTATTTAAAACATCAGAAATTATGTGGTCTATCACTGGGATACTAATAAGGAAAGATAACAAAGATCTCAGAAAAAAAAATAATAACCACCCTGTTAATTCTACACTTCAACCAAAGAAAAAGAGGATGAAAAAAATGTAGCTATCTTCAGGAAATAGAAGATGCTGAGGCAGGTGTCAAGCCAGACAGCTAAGTGGTTGGCTACTATGCAAAACAATATTAATTTTCTAATTTTACCAATGCTATATCGATTGGAAGAGAGCACTTGTAAAAGTGAATCAATTAGCAACATAATCAAAAAACATATTCTGGATACAGATAAGCTGATGAAGATGAGGTAAATGACATTGATTTCCCTGTGTCTTACCCAGTTAATGTAGTTCACTATTCCAATCAATCCATTTACCCAAATACCTATTATGAGTTCCACAGCTAAGATAAGCAAAACGATGTTGTCCTGTGCACTTGACATTTCTCCTGAATGAAAAATTGCTGTCTCAAATACCACTGTTGATTAGTTGATGGATTGGAAATAATTATTAGTGGTACTTCTTTGTTTTTATGGTGACTTGCATTCACTTCAATAAGCATCAGCTCTTGCTTTCTGGTTGGTCCTCAGTTAACATTGTGAAAACCATTTCAGTCCATTAAAAATGTCTTAGTTTGTAATTTCCTTCTCAACAGATGTGGATATACCTTCTTTTATAGTAATCCCTGCTATGATTTTTCCATGTTCTATTATGAGTGAAAGGATTATATTTAGTTTGCTTAGAAGCAAATGGAGATTCTCTTTCATTCTGTCACCTTCTATCCTAGTCTAAAATGTATATTAAGAAAACATGAAAATTGCCAAGCAGGAGTTTCTAAGAGCTATCTAAGAATTAAAATTGTAGTAGAAAACTGAAACTAGAGATGGAAATTCAGTATCGTCATCATGATCAGCACCATCATTCACTTCAGCACCAAAAGAAGAAATAAATAAAAAGCACCAATAACTCAACTCTACCTTTGCAGATAATTTACAAATCGGGAAGACTTGACAATGTAATCTCAGTAATTGAAATTTAAAGGGAATATATTATTTTTACTTGGATAATTATTATTTGGATAATTGCACTAATACTGATCAATATTTTTCTGGATTAGTACTCATATATTACAAGGTATTTGCATCATGGATATCCTATTTGCTTCTTAAAACATCATTTACTAGAGCTAGAAGTACATTTTATTTTTAAAAAGTGCAAACTGGAGGATTTAAATAGTTTGTCCAAGATCACAACAGTTACATCTGGCAGACAGGAAGGCTTTAAATGGTCTTTTGACCCAAATAGCACTCTTACATTTCTGCAGTGGCTTTTTGTTGTTGTTGTTGTTGTTGTTGTTGTTTCCCTAAGTTATTGGCTGCAGGTGGCATTTGGTTACATAAGTTTTTTAGTAATGATTTGTGAGATTGGTGCACCCATCACCCAAGCAGTATACACTGCACCACATATATAGTTTTTTATCCCTTGCCCCCTCCTACACTTCCCCTCAAGTCCCCAAAGTCCATTGTATCACTCTTATGCCTTTGCGTCCTCACAGCTTATCTCTCACATATCAGTGAGAACATACAATGTTTGGTTTTCCATTCCTGAGTTACATCTCTCAGAATAATAGTCTCCGATCTCATCCAGGTCGCTGCAAATGCTGTTAATGCATGCATTTTTATGGTTGCATAGTATTCCATTATATATATATACACACACACACACACAGATATATAGATATAGATACAGATATATACACAATCCAATCCAATCTGTAGTTTTTCTGTATTTAGATTCAAATGGCTCCAGTGGTGGAATGCCAGTAACTTGTGTTTTGGGGAAGACTGGAGTGCCAAAGGGGTTCTCAGTGTTTGTGCTCAGCTTCAAGAGTCCACACATGGACTGTAGAGAAGGCTCTCTTTCTACATGCATGTCCCTCTCCCGGTATAGTGGCATTGCTTGTCAATCAGAGAAAACTTCATGGTGGGGCAACAGGAGCTCTTCGTTCTTCTCTAGCTACTGCCCGTCTACGTTCCTTTGCCTCCAATGTGGGGCCTTTTTAATGCTCCTACCATTCCCACAACAAGAAAAACTGCCTAAAACTAGTGCAGGATCCTGGTTGAAAGCTAGTTTTCTTCCCTTCCTCCAGTGGCAATAGATGGATTTCCCCTGGGGTCAGCATGGGAGTCCAGGGCAGGCAACCTTCCTGGCCCTCCCTGAGTGTCAGTCAATCAATGTCTTATATCACTGGAGGGTCTTGATATCATCAGATTAACTGCCCCCTTCCTGCAGCAAATGGCTTTTTCCTGGTGTTCATGCAGAGTCCAGGGTTGGTGGGTTTTCTGCCCTCCCTCAGTGGCAGATCCTTTCCATTTAGCCAGCATGCAGTCCAGAGCAAGTGAGTTTCCTGGACTTCCCCTGTGGCAACAGATCTCTAACAAGTATCAATGCAGACCCAGGAGTGCAGGGAGGTTTCTTACCCCACCCCGGGTGCCAATCAGCTATTGCCCAATATCAGAGTAGGGGCCAAGCTACAGTGGATGCCCTGCCCCTCACTCAGCAGCAGGCAGGTTTTGCTTAATAAAGATCCAGAACATGTGTAGTTTTCTTGCCTGTCCCCTAGCACTGGCCAACAACCACCTTTTACTCAGGCAGGTTCCAGTGTAAATGGGCTTCTCCAGTTTCTATTACTCCTCCTTAAAACTTAAGAAGACTTTGTTCCCATTTGTTTTAGATTTGCACTGCTGCTGAAACAAAGTATCATAAATTTAGTGGCTTAAATGCTACAAAATTATCTTAACAGTTCTGTAGATCAAAGTCTGATATATGTCTTACTAAGCTAAAATCCAGGTATCAGCAAGCCTGCATTGTTTTCTGGAGGCTCTAGGGAGGAATCCATTTCCTTGCCATTCCCAGCTTCTAGAAACTACCTGCAGACCTTAGTTTGGGTAAGGTCTTCAAAGTCAGAAGTGTTGCATCTCTCTAACCCTAATTAAGAAATAATCTGTTTTTAAGGACTGATATGATTAGACTGAACCCACCTAAATAATACAGGATAATCTCCCATCTCAGGGTGCATACCAATAATCACATTTGCAAAGTCCCCATGCCGTGTAATGTAACATATTAACTAGTTCCAAAGATTAAGTCATAGACATCTTTGGAAAAGCCATTATTCTACCTCCTGTACCATGTACCATAAAGGAGCTTTCCCAGGTTTCCTGCTCTGTCCTCAACCTTTCCAGTAAGCATTCGGTAGAAGCCCAAGGGAAAAAGCTGGCAATTACTGATCACTCCTGTGTCTGGGGCTCCCAGGTACTCTAAACTGTTACATTAAACTACACTCAACCTTTGTAAGAACTGGTTAAAATTTCAGCCATTTTCTTGTTACCTATCGACATGTCAGAGAACTCTTGTGGAGTTCTGTCACAGATGAAACAATTTGTGTCTCCTATTTGCAAAGGCTTTTTTTTTTTTTTTTTTGAGATAGAGTCTTGCTCTGTCTACCAGACTGGAATGCAGTGGTGCGATCTCAGCTCACTGCAAGCTCCACCTCCTGGGTTCACGCCATTCTCCGGCCTCAGCCTCCCGAGTGGCTGGGACTACAGGCGCCCACCACCATGCCCAGCTAATTTTTCATACTTTTAATAGAGACAGGGTTTCACCATGTTAGCTAGGATGGTCTAGATCTCCTGACCTCGTGATCTTCCCGCCTCGGCCTCCCAAAATGCTAAAATTCAGTTTACCTGCTCACCTTGTAACTTCAGTTCTAACAAGCTCAAAATAAATTACGACTTTGTAGCCTACCTAGTTTACTCCCCTTGTTAGAGCAGAAGCAACATTCTCTTTTGGTTTTCTACCTTCTAAAAGGAAGCAGAATTCTCGAGATGCTTTTCAAAATGCATGCATAAATGCATGCTGTATCATATTCTTCCACATGCATGGTTTATAAATGTCTCAATTAAAGAAATAGATTCACGTATAGGTGATTTTTCATGCAACCTCTCTGGCCTTGTAATGAAGAATACAATAGATCTTAATAATCTGACAATTATTAAGTGTGTCTCATTGTTTAAAAGAGAGGTGGGGGAGGAAAAAGAAAAGTCTTGCTTGAAATATGGAAATAAGAGTATATGTTTAGCTCTGAGTATGTTCTGGTGAGAATTACAATGATGCCAAACTCTACGCATATATTAAAGCCATAGCAAAAGAAAAAAAAAGAAAGAAAGAAAAGAAAAATGAAAGAGTTTTTATATGGGCTTCTACTTGATTTTATTTTTTCCTAATACAAAAAACAGTTTTCGTTAAGACTTTCAAGGAACCAAGGTTTCCCATCACATCAAGAATATAATCTTTCACAGCATTATAAGAGGTCTGACTCAGCTTGTTCTTCCCAAGAATCAGAATCAGAGTGATCAGAAAGGCAGAAAGTTGCTACTATGTACAAAAGCATCATGCCCAGCAGGCTGTTTACCATAAAGTGAATCGAATCTGATATAAAAGTTGAAAAACAGTACACGATAAAAAGAAAGTAAGAAAGATTACAGACTCCAAAATCATTTATATCCCAATGGAATGTTAATAAACCAAGGACTCCATCAGAATCATAATATTCACATAATTAATTCTACATTTTGTCCAGACGAAAAATGGCTGAGAAAAAATTAGCTATCTTGAATTGCCCCCACCTCCAAAAATTATCAGGCAGATAGCAAACCAGAGGGTTGAGTATTGATCAGTGTCCAAAAGGAAATTGTACTTTTTTTCTAGTTTGGTATTAGCACAAGTTAATGGTGTGGTGTGAACGTAAGTACAAAAACATTAAGCAGTATTAAACATAGCTGATAAATTCTGGAGATGGCTAAACTTATGAAAAGTCAGTTAAAGGAATCTTACAATGCCTAAGGCAGTCAATGCAGTTAATCTGTACAATCAAGCCATTTCCAAATATTCTAATCATGAATTCTCCTAATATCACCCTCAGCAAAATATTCTTCCTTATAACTAGAATACACAGAGAAAAATATTAATCTCTCATGTTGTAACTGTTTGTCTGCTTCAGTATAACACATCTGATGCTTGATTGTACAGTCTTGATCCAGAAATTGCCCAGTGTTGCTAGGGAACCTAATCATTGGTGTCATTGATACAATTTGTTCTCCTTTCAGCGTTGTACTGAATCTGTGTAAAAGTTTCCTTTAAATTTCAGTGTGTGATGATGATTGAAAGGTAACTCATTTTGTTAGCATGCAAATGTGGGACAGACTCTTTCACTGATTTGCAATTTTTCTCTTGCCTTTAGGCTTGGATCCTATGAATCCGATCCTTGCATTCTGAATGCATTTCTTATATAAGAGAGAACTTACCTTGGCAGATTCTCAAAAAGGGAATTGAGAATTTGACAATATGGTACTTTGCAGACCCACTGAAGCCTACCTTAAAACTTTGCCAAAAGATCACCAAGCTAAACAAGAAATTATAAAGTATCAAAACTGGAATATAACATCAAAAATAGGGAAATGATAAAAGATTAGGAAAGGAAGGCCAATTAAGAGTCAATGAAATACCACCCAGAGAAATGGCTTAAGATGTGTTATTGTCGACAGACTGTTCATACGTGCCTACTAGCAAGAAATGTGGATTAGGCATTCAAATCTAAAACATCAAGGGGCAGATAAAAACTATGATCATCTACATTATTGGTCCTATCCCACTCTCAGGAGGAAAGAAGGAAATCTTTCTTCCGCTCTAGAGCATTAAGGAGTAGGATTTGGAGCTTTGTGACTGTTCTTTGCCTATTCCCTTCCCACTGGAATAGGACCTCAATCTGGCCATGTTATCAGTGGGTGGCTGCTATTTTCCCCACGGTCTCAGGGTGGAAGACAAAGTTTTCATGGAGTTACCCAGAGCTGGAGCAAGTAGGGCATAAAGGGTGGCACAAAAGAGGAACAGAAGAGAGAGAGAGTCCACATAGCTTTACATATTTGGAAATGAAAAATCCAGGAACGTAATGACTCCTGTGACCCTGAATGGCTCTATGTATTAGTCTTTCAGTTTTCAAAGGGAGTAAATTATATTTGTGAACTGAAATTACATAACTTCTCCCAGTTCTTGGAATGGATCATTTATTTTACATTGCTCTTCAGTCTGTATACCAGTATTTTAGAAGTTGTCATGAGTAATTCCTGTAAGTACTATCTCCGGGTAGTGGTATTGGTACAGCAAAGTAGCATAAGAAGAAATACAGGCTGGGAAAACAAAATTAATTTTTATAAATTTCTCAATGGCATGGTTATTTCTACCAGTCATATCATCAGTAGACTATATAGAAACAGAGGTACTCTAGGGTACTGAACTTGTGCTTTGAATAGCTGCTAGACATGCAGTGCATGGTGTATCTGAACAATGCTTTTCAGAACAAGACTGTAATCTTAAGGTCATGATCAGAAATCACACATTTGAATAATCCATGAATGAAGACGTGTTAAGATTAAAACATACAGGGCTGTCTAGTTAAAATGGGAGATAAGTGAAGGTAATGAAATGTGTATCATTTAAATAGCAAAAGTATTGTGGCTATTAGAGATTCACTGTGCAGTTACTCTAACGGTATTAAGAGTTTGGAAGTACAGAGTAGTATTCCAGCCCTTACAGCCTAGCCACGGGTTTCACAGATGCATCTCCATGCAGAAATGGTTGAAGTTTCCATAGCTAATCTGAACTTTTTAAGGGTTTATATAGACGGGAATATGATTTTGTATGTATGTCCTTGTGTATATACGCGTGTCTACTAGTTTTTTGCTTGAATGTTTACCATTTCTGTCACTTGCAATTTAAATATTCCTAATACATAGAAAAACCCAGACTAAGATTGTGATCCTTTATGCCTATGGTATATTATGAATACAGAGACCTTGTGCCTTTACTGGCTTAGGAATAATCTTGCCCTAATATTAATGTTATGAAATCAAAAGGGTAAGATTCCTGGCTAACATCCCACAGAACACAGCAGACAAACTAAAGTTGTAATCTAGCTTTGGACTTCACAAATTTTGTGCCCTAGAGCAAGTTACATCTCGCTTAGTTTTTTTCATTTTAAAGTGGAAATATCTGCATGGTTGTTCGTACATGCTATATAACACATCCTATTCCAGATCAACCACCAGTTGAGCTCTAAATGGTAAATGCCAAAAGTGAGAAGCAGACAGGAAGGGGCGGAGCCCCAGCGGCGCCAGGGGCGACGCGCCGCACCGGACCCAGCAGCGGCAGAGGCAAGCTTGGGTGTGAGCCTGGGGGCCGCTTTGCCCACTGTCCCGCCGGTCGCAGCCGTCGCTAGGGGGTCCGTGGGCCCTGCGGCAACCCTCGGTACAGACGCTGGGCGGGCGGCGACACCTGGCCCATGGCCCCCCCGGCGGCTCAGCCTTCCTTGGCCGTCAGGGCCTCAAGCCCCGCCGCGGCCCCCACCTCGTACGGCGTCTTCTGCAAGGGGCTCTCCCGCACCCTGCTCGCCTTCTTCGAGCTGGCCTGGCAGCTGCGCATGAACTTCCCGTACTTCTACGTCGCGGGCTCGGTGATCCTCAACATCCGATTGCAGGTACACATTTAGAGTCGTGACTAAGCTAACGGCCTCAGGGGCTAGCATAATGGCCTACTCCCAGGGTCCCTTGCGGCGCGGCGGAGCAGCGAATGGCGAGCCCCACAGTCTCGCGTTAGTGCTCAGGCGCTGTTCGCGGCCTGTTTCTTCGCTACAAGCAGAGCTCCTCTGGGGGCCGCCGAGAGCCTACAGTTCCTAGAAAGAAAATACGCGATTCCGGAAACAGAACTGCAGTTAAGACCCTCGAAAAGATCTAAGAAAGTGTGCATCCTAAAACACCTGACGAATTTCAGGACGTGACAAAGCGCAGAGGTTGCATTATTTCAAAACAAAACAGAAGGCTAAAATTTTCAGGAAAAAGCAAATCAGTAAACCGTGAGTACTGGACTGGATTGTAAGCAAGATTTGAATGAGTAAGAGCTGAAGGTATTAAGATTGTGATATAGAAGGTACATACTTCTTCATTCCACAAGAGAAAATAATAATAATCAGAAACTTTCAGTGAAAAAAAGCAAAACTCTACAGGAAAAGCATCCTCCAAGTACCAGACAAAATGCTGCAAGCTTTTGAACTAATGGCGAGAGTGTGAGAAAATGGGCTCTATTGCAATGCTCCTGTGGCAGGACGTCGTGGATCGAGGCTTGGAACCGCAGAAAAGGAAATCCCATAGTAGCACAAAGCTTGGCTGTTCAGTGAATAACATTTAAATAATCGTAAAATACAAATGTTGTTATGGTTTTTATTGTTTAAGTACATAATTATGGTTACGAAGTGGAATGCAAATGTTATTTACCATATTTTAAAAAGAGAGCCGGAAATACAGGTGGGAATGTTGAAGGAGGGCGGCGGAAATAAATGGAATGGTGGTTCTGTCCTTATAAAGTCGGAACTTGAAAGGTACTGCCTGTTGTTGAGTGGGGAAAGACTTTTATTACAGGGTAGCCATAAAGTTTCTAAAACAGTAATATATTAAAGAGGGAGAGTGGTAGGGGAGAACAGTATGAAGTCAACAGGAAATGCCTAAAGATGGAGCGCTCAGGTAGAATATTTCAAAAAATAAAAATTGATAGAATACCTGGTGTATTTGAATACAGCCTAGAGAGCTTTCATTTTTCCATAGAGTGGGGATAAATTGGTGATTGCATATTTTTCAAAATTAGAACATGTAATTTTGAACCCTGCGAAAAATAAAAATTTAAAAACTACACTGTATACCTCAACTATGAACAATACTAGTCATGTAAAGTCTGTCATAATTATGTCAATACTGAATACTGATTTGACAACGAATGATTCTACAACTGGGAGGATGGAAGAGAAGAGAGAGGTGTGTGTGTAATGGTGGTGAGCTAATCAAGATCTGATATAGAAAAGTGCAGGAAAAGTGGTATACACATGTTTTTTCCAGATTAAAAAAAAAAAACTATAATAATAAACCACTAAGAGTGGTAAAGTTTTAAATCAAGATCTGATATAGAGAAGTGCAGTAAAAGTAGTATACACATGTTTTTTCAGAAAAAAATAATAAACCACTAAGAAGGGTAAAGTTTTAAACTAGATGCAGTGTTCTATATTCCACTCATTGTGCCCAGCAAACAGTTAGTTGTTCTATGTCTTTAAGTAGTAAGTATCTTGCCCCCTCCAACACCAGGTCTGGCCTTGGGTAATTGTTCTTTGTAGTCTTTATTCTTTGTCTCCAGCCAAACTCCTCTTGGGCATATTCTCCTTTATGCCTTTTCTACCTGAAGATACTCTTTTTTTTTTTTTTTTTTTTTTTTAGGCGAAGTCTCGCTCTGCCGCCCAGCGTTGGAGTGCAATGGCCGGATCTCAGCTCACTGCAAGCTCCGCCTCCTGGGTTTCACGCCATTCTCCGGCCTCAGCCTCCCAGGTAGCTGGGACTACAAGGGCGCCCGCCACCCATCGCCCGGCTAGTTTTTGTATTTTTTAGTAGAGACGGGGTTTCACCGTGTTAGCCAGGATGGTCTCGATCTCCTGACCTCGTGATTCGCCCGTCTCGGCCTCCCAAAGTGCTGGGATTACAGGCTTGAGCCACTGCGCCCGGCTCAGCTATCTGTTTTATATACTCAAGACAGGTTTCCTAGACTGCGATAAGCCAAACATTTTAATCTAAAATATCAGAAGTGTAGTTTAATAAATGAAATAGTAATACCAAGGGATTTAGAATGGTGAACATCACTGTTTCCCAGAGCACTAATGTCCCAATTTGTAACACAAAAGACTGTCTAGTCTTAATGCTGAAATGGTGACAGAGTAGGATGCTCCATTTGGGTGACTATGTGAACATGTTCCTACTTTTTTCCTCACATCAGTCATTTGTTAAACCGAAGAAACAGACTTTGTATTTATTATATCCTCCAACATAATTGGCAACTCTTTGAGGGAAGACACTATATCCTATTCAATTTTACACCCTGTAGTAACAGTATGTGTGTGCATTGTATGTATACATATATGAACATACACATATATAAATGTAAGTAGTAACTATATATGTACACAGTTACCACTAACATACTATATATGTATACAGTTACAGCTTACATTTACCTCCTAATATATACATATTTACATAAATGTAAATATGTAATTTTCACATTTTACATTTTAAATATGTAAAAATTACATATTTATGTAATGTAAATAAGTAATTATGTAATTTACATAAATGTAAACATGCATATATTTACATAAATATGCATATATATTAGGAGGTAAATGTAAGCTCTGTGGTTTATCATTTATTCACAATTGCTCTTAATTCTTGAGGTATACTTTGCCTCCTACATGTTGCAATTCAGTGAAATTCTCAGGAGACAAAACAAGATTTTGACCTGAATAAACCAGTTATTGTTGTAATTCACAAGTGAGTTTATTCTTCCTGGCACACTTCCAGGTAATATCCATTAGGCCAAGGATTTTGTTTGTTCACTGTTCTATCCCCAAGCCTAGAGCATTGCCCAGTGTGGAATAGCTAACAAATATTGTTGGATGGATAGATGAATGGCAATTTGGTTGGTATGCTCTACATAGTCAGCAGTCAATAAAGGAAACAGATATATTTGTCCCTGATAATAAGATGATTCACTGTATTGCCCATAAATTGAGTTTTTTCAGACCATGATGCACGTTGATTGTTCCAGAGATCCCTCAAGCATGAAAAAGCAGAGACATAGGTGGCATAATTATTATCAGTAAATACAAAACTTAAGAAATATAGCTGACAAAAAAAAGGGAAATGATGTGTTACAGTTTATTTGAGCTATAAAAGGAAAATAGTGAACATAGCAACGTATGTAACCTAAGGGATAGAGGAAAAGATTTTTTTTTTTGTTTTTTTTTTTTAATTCTGGGTAAAAATACATGTGGTGACAAACAGCATATCATTACCATCAGCATCATTTAAAAAATATATTGAGTTTTTAATACCAGAAACTATGAAAAAGTGTTTATATACCTGAGCTCCATAATTCTCACATATACCCTGTGAGGAAAACATTTTTATCATTTTTCAAAGAAGCAAATGGATTTAGAGAGGTTAAGTAACTTCCTAAGGTCGTGGTAACCAACCAGACCTCAAATGAATCTCCAGTAATTCCTAAAGATATATTTCATAAGGAGTTCAATTTTCTTAAATGTGTAGATAATTACAGATAATCCTGTTTCTCAAATTTCTAGACAGAAATATTACCTGGGTAATAATTACTTTTTTTAACGTAACTATTGAGGGTCTTTCATACTAAAATATAAATATTTAACATGATTTGTTATGTAAGTTCAAGTATTTTATACTCTCTGCAGCCTTAAATCTATTGGCTTATTTTATTAGACGGTGGTGAGATTGAGGGATATGGGAGCAAAGGAAGAGAGAGGAAAGGACATTGTCCTCAGAATGGAAGGAAAACACTTTTCTTTGCTACCCAGAGTAGAGATCAGACAATCTTAAATTTGAAGCCATGTCTGTTCCTGTCCTGAGAATCCCTAACTCAATTTTGTTAGAAAATCTTGCAGTTTGCTTTTAACGGGTGATCTTTCTGGCAGGACATCAATAGCTTTTGATAGAGTCAAGGAGAAAATAAAGTTACATGCAGAAGCATAAAGGGGTAGGATGAAAGTTGAAGAATACAGGGACAAAAGATGAGGGAAAGGAATATCCTAATACTTGGAAGTTTGAGCATGGAAAGTAGTCTAAAGACTAGATTTGGGAAGTTCCAAGAAAATAGGCCGAGGAAAGAACCTCTGCAAGAACTATGAGAATTCCCAATAATTGAGTTGGATTGATTCATGTTAGACTATTGCTTGGGTTACCTTGAGTGCAGGGATTCTTCGTGCAGTTTTAACACTTGTACTATGGTCTGAATGTGCCCCCAGAAAATTCACATACTGGCATTCTAACCCCCAAAGTGATGATCTTAGGAGATGGGGCCTTTGAAAGGTGATCAGGTCATAAAGATGAAACCCTCATGAATGGGATTAGTGCCCTTATAAAGGAGACCCCAAAATAATTCCCTTACCCCTTTTGCCATGTAAGATTATAGGGAAAAGTCATCTATGAACAAGGAAATGAACCCTCACCAGATATCAAATTTGTGAATGCCTGGATCTTGGACTTCCCAGCCTCTAGAACTGTAAGAAGTAAATTTCTGTTGTTTATAAGCACCCATTTTATGGTATTTTTTATAGCAGTATGAACAAACTAAATAGGATTTGCTCAGCAGGATTACCACCAGGTCAGGTCATGAATCTTTTCAAAATTTCAGTAAACCTCCCCCTACCCCTACAAATATACATTTCAGCAATGCTCTTGGCACAACTAAAAGGCCCAAGGACCTTCCCAAGAGCCTACTACAAATGAAAAGAAGAAACTATGGAAGTCTTAGTAGCTTAATTGCAGGACATCCCTGCCAGTTTCTGTCCTGATTAGGAATCTGCAATGAACATTACAAAGTCTTCACCATCTTCATGACTTTCAACACCAAGAATATGGACTTAGCCACTGTAAAATAGTGGAATGCATCAATGAATAATAAAGAGATATGGAGATCATTCATGTTATTAGTGAGGAAGTTGGGTACAACTTTTCATCAACCAAAAAGAAGGAGAAAAACAATCACACAGCCAAATAATGAAATATTGTAACTAGAATGTCTTGGCTCTAAGATCATTGGCAGAGAATTAGAGATTATGTTCAGCAGATTAAAACAAAAACAAAACAAAAAACAGTGAGCTGTGATCATGCCACTGCACTCCAGCCAGGGCTGCAGAGCAAGACCCTGTCTCAAAAAACAAAAAGCCAAAGATACAAGATGTTTAAAGTTAAAAAAGAACTGTTGTTCAAGAGATCATTTTCACTTTTTAATTGTTTTTTGAAAACTGCAAAAGTATCTCAAACTGAAGTCTAAAAGGAAAATAATTAATAGAAGCTTCGAAGTTCAGGGGCCAGGTTATATCTATATAAAAGGGAAAGTAAATTATTTCCAGAACTGATTCATTTATTAAACATGGGGCTAAGGAATAGAGGTGGCAATATACAAGTCAAGATAATGCCTTTGTCTTCTGAAGCTGCATCTACATTGGTGCCCCTCAAAATAGCTAAAATTGAAAATAGTTTATCAGTCACCCGGGATTTCTTCTACAAATAACCTTCCCAAAAAAATATTGCCTAACATTTTTCTGAATTTATCAAACCAACCATCTGATCAATTTTCTAAATGAAGATTTATTCTTGGCAATAATCTAGCTCAGGGCCTAGGTCATTGTACACAGCATTAAGCAATGTAACAGATGAGTGGACTGGAAGTATGGGTTTTGCAGATGGCCTCCTTATTTCTGTATTTTAATTAAGGAAGTTTCTAGCTCAAAGGACATGAAATTAAGGGCAGCAGCAAACCATGTGAACTATCAGAGATTCACCAGAGACTATCACGCCCTCTGAAATATTTATTGATCCATGCATATTTTCACGAGGATGTTTTCTTTGAGTAAAACTAAGGACAACATGGCTTGCACACCCAAAATATCTTCTCATCTTAAGTTCTGGGCCTAAGGCAGGGCCCAGGCATCAGCCGTTTTTGGCATTAGAAACAGGTTATTCAGGTTATTGGCAGCTCTTCTATAAATCAACTGTGTGACCACACTGAGACGGGGGAACTCAAAAACTCTCATGACATCAAGACTATAAACTTACTTTAGGATAAAGCAATTGGCAAAAAAAAAAAAAAAGTCAATCATTTTCTTTTCCCAATTATTTGTTCCCAGGATAGGATACAGTTCTCTCCAGATTGCCTGCAACTAGCTTTGGATGTAAGAGTTGTGGTTGTCTTCGATCATGGCTTGCATCTCCAACCCAGGCTTTTATTATGGAAAATGATGGTGCAGAGCTTAATCTCAAAATGTCATTGTAATAGGCAGAATGCAATACATTGGTAGCCACAGTCCCAGACTGTCTCCCAGCCTTCATCGTTTAATAGTCATTTTCTGTGCTTTTATTATCTGGAATAGGTTTCTGCTCCATATAGCTTCATCTCTCCAAGGATAGTACCTGAGATGTGAGGACTTAATCCTAATAAGACATTTACTTCTAAGTCCCACTCACTAGAAGCAAGGATTGTGTATGGTTGTTTAAATCTTTTGAATTTTGATCATTAAAGAAAAGTTTAGGCCAGGCGCAGTGGCTCACCCCTGTAATCCCAGCACTTTGGGAGGCCAAAGCTGGCAGGTCACCTGAGGTCGGGAGTTCGAGACCAACCTGACCAAAATGGAGAAACCCTGTCTCTACTAAAAATACAAAAAAATTAGCCAGGCGTGGTGGCGCATGCCTATAATCCCAGCTACATGGGAGGCTGCTTGAACCCAGGAAGCAGAGGTTGCGGTGAGCCAAGATTGCACCATTGCACTCCAGCCTGGGCAACAAGAGCAAAACTCCATCTCGAAAAGAAGGGAAGGGAAGGGGAGGGGAGGGGAGAGGGAGGGGAGGGAATAGGGATGGGGAAGGGTCAGGGGAGGAGAGGGAGGAGAGGGGAGGGGGAGGGGGAAGGGCAAGGAGAAGGGGAAGGGGAAGGGGAAGGGGAAGGAAAAGGGGAAGGGAATTTAACTTGTTTACTGAAAGGAGTAATTCCAAACCAAATTATCCTCACGATCTGAACCTAAATGTAGCCAGTGTGATTTTAATGTTGCCCTTTCTAAAGCAAGATAATGTCCATGATAATCATTAGGAAATTTATTATACAGTATCTAAGAATGAATGAAGTTTTAAAAATCTAAATGTCTGTATAGGCCTGTACTGGCCTTAAGATTATATATTGTATACATTTTCAGTTACTTTAAATTATTTTATTGTAAAAGTCAACCTAGAACTATACAGAAATGCAAACATGCCTAAAATATATGCAAATATGTGACATTCTCTTATAAATTTTCCTTTATGTTCTTATTCTTAGTGAGTTGGTTGTGTTAGTTTTCTCTGATGTGACACACTAGTATTCATGGTATGACAAAAATATATCATTACACATGTGCACACACACAGAGATCTTGTGTCAAAGTGTGGTTTTGATCCTATAAAGTAAAAATAGAAGCATCATTATGGACATAGGGATAAGTATTCAACTTCTTTTTAGAAGTTCAGTTGATTTTGCACTTATCCTACAAAAGTATGATAGCTTGAATTCCTAGCTAGGGTCCTAATGAGAGAATTATCTTTTGTTTTAAAAGTTACATCTATTGTTATGCGATTATATGCTTTCAACATTTTTAGTTCTTAATGTCTTTTACTTAGTGTTATAAAAATTGGAGTAGATATTAGGCTCTAATGGTATTTAGAACCATTTCCAAATACTACTTTTTTTTTCCTCACATATGAATGTCATCACACATTTGCCAGCACATATAAAATAAAACATGTTGCATTATATATTTTATATTTATATTAAGTCTCAAATATTTCCTTGTTACTAGCAAATATTAAAATGACAATGAGACTTACTTTTTTAAAAATCTAGTATTACATTGGCTGACTTTATGAGTAAATTGTTCATTTATAGGCCATTCTAGGGAAATTTTGTGATGCTCACTTATACCTTAAAATAATCCGGGTGAAAAACACATGCTAAAATACATCTTCAATGTGTTCTCATTAATTCCTCTGGAATATAGAAAAATCTGGAAAAGTCTACGAAACTAAAGCTTTCACTCGTTTTAGGTAGCACTTAAGATGCCACAGTAGTTCCACAGCAGTCTCTCTCAGCTTGTGGTTTTCCAAAATTAGGACAAATGAGTGATTTGAAGGAAAAATAATTGATGTCAACAAGACAAAGAAATTGACCTGCTATTTCTGCTGTACAAGGAAAATCCAACCTGTTAGTAGGAGAGAAGCAAAGTGAACCAAAAAGAAGAGGAGGAAAGACACCATCATTTTCATTTTCATTTTCATTTTCACGGCCCTCTTATGGGCCTTCATTCTGAGATTCCTTGGACCCATGGTGTTGAGCTGCAAACTCCTGATACGTTTTATCAAGGACAGAATTAAAAGGAGCGGCGAGATCAGGGACAGAAGAAAGGAAATTAAGTAGGTCAAACTGGCAAGAATCCAGACATTACAATATAGAATTTTCCTTACATCTAAAGACCAACTTGAGTTTCTTTCATAAGTTGTGTAGCTGTTAATCCATAAGTCACTAAGTCCACCTGTTAATGCAAGGTTGAAAACCCGTAGGAACAAAGACCCCAGTGGGAGTATAAGTAGCACTCTGCTAATTCTCCATCTCAGCCAGATGAAGCAGGGGTGGCAAAAATTGACTATTTTAAAGAAGTAGAAAACACTAAGACCGGCAGCAAGCCAGGTAACTAAGTGATTGGTCAGTGCCCCCAAAATACCAATAAATTTTACTAGTTTGTTGAAGGCATATAGATGTGGCCATAATGCTATTAAAAATGAATCAAGTAGTATTATCCAAAGTTGACTGATTCTGGAGATAGCAAGGCTGGTGAGGATGCAGTCGGCTGATAAGATCATTTGACTCCTCACCAGTTAATGCAGTTAACTAGTACAATGAACCCATTCCCTAACATTCAGATTATGAATTCTCCCATCATTACTATCAGAAAGGTATTTCCAATTCCAGGTGGCATTTCTGTAGAAGCAAATCCGGAAAGCTAATACTATGTTTCACTGATACTTTTGCTGTCAAAATGTTGCAGAGTAATATCCAACTTGATGATTTTCAGATTTATATTTAAAATGTTTACAGTAACTCAGAATGATCTTCTGTTTGATGCCATCTCACTTATCTTCACAAAATATCTTTCTGTTTTTTTTAATATTCATCTCACTAGTAGGCCTGAAATATGTGCAAGAAGATCCAGTCTCACATATCTTAATTAAAAAAAAAAAAAACTTTAACATTATTTTTAATCAGCTACTGACTTACAAGTTAAACAGTAAATATAGTAAATGGGCCAACTTATCATTGGTACTGTCAGCAGTTTCCAATTTGTGAGGACATCTAGAAGGGCGAAGTCAGGTATGCAAATACCCAACAGATTTCTTTCCACTGATTTGTAATTTCCTCCTCAACTGAAAGTCAATACCATTTGGATTTGAATATTTTAATTTTAAAAGAACTATCTAAAAATAACCTCTATAATATGTGTATTATTCATTTGTTTCATTAAACTCCATCATATTTCCGATTCTACTTTGGATGAATTAAGTGTAATAAAAAGAAGCATCAAAAAGCTCACAGAGTAGTGAAAAAAAGCAACATTAAATGTGCTTTTACTACTGAATGTAATCAAAGTTTGATCAAAATGTAATTACAGCACAGAGGAGGGTGTTATAAAATCTATGGCCAATAACTAATTCTAGTTTCATGAAGATAATGACAGTTGGCTTGGGTCTTGAAGCTTTTAGGATTTCTTAAAGAAATAGACAAAAAGGGAGATGATTTTACACAATTATGTAAAAGCGTATGCAAACAAACCAAAATTATTCCTCTATCTGAGCTGTTTTACTGAACTTTTGAGCTTGGTTTCCAATGCCTTCCTGGCTATTTGATTCCGAATAAGCTCTTATCAACTGAAATGAAAAACATAGTAAAAAAGATGGAAAATAGCAAAAAAAATAAGACGGAGAGTAGGAGGGAAATTCTTTTCATTAATTCTTCCTTTGGTAAAATCCTTTGTCTCATAAAAATATATCCACAGTAAAATATATTACATAATTTATTTGTATTATTTTGAACTCTAATACAATGGTTTTCAACCTTTACTGCACATTGCAGTTAATGTGGGAGCTGTAAAAAACCATTGATGCCTGTGGGCCACCCTCAGGGATTTTTATTACTTAATTGGTCTGGAATACATTGCTGGCACTCACTGAGAGGCTCTTGATGTATGTCTTACAGTGACTCCCAAATCCAGGCAAAAATCTTTCTACGCAAAAGCTGCAAATCTATGATTCTCTGAGGACAGGACAGGATTTTGCCTGCCTTGTTCTCTGACAATGTGTTTCTATTCAGCCAGTATTGATGCTGACTGGCAAATTGGTCAGCAACTCTCTTAACAACCACATAAGTGACTTTTTTGTTGTTGTTGATTGGTATATTTCCAATTCACAGGACATAAAGGGCCTGCATAATAGTAGGTCTTCCATAACTATTTGTTAAATGAATTAGTGCTAACTTAGTTGGCAGTCCCACTAGCAGCACACAAAAGGAGAAAATGAGTAAGGCTTGACTGTGAAACAAGTATCAGAGCAAGAAAAGAAAGTACCTCCTTAAAATTAGAGAAAATGTTACATTCATATATGAACTTATGAATCATTTCTATTCTAATCCTGAAAAACCCAGCACTGTTCTGTAATCTTTCTAGTTCAATCAAGAAATCATACAGAATCAAAAGGAACATGCTGGTCTGCCACCCAAGATGGGGGAGGCTCGGTACTTTTCTTCATGAAAAGGAACTACTTCTAGCCCAGGGAGTTGAAGATGGCTAGAGAACTAGATTTTGTGACACAAGAAGCAAGATAGCCCTATCTGAAAACGTCACTGATGTTTTCAGAAATGCTCTGTAAGTCATATAAAGGCTAATTGAGAAGAAGACTCCATTGACAGGCATGGCTTAACTGTGACAAACACAGAAAACAAGTCAGTCAGGAGATAGCGATTAAAGAACATTTGAGTTTGTAGTTACACTGAAGAAACTAAAAATAAAAGATGCAATAACAAGTATAAAAACCACAAGTCCCATATACTGTGAGTTGTATTCAAAGTCAAAGTTAATAATCACAATTTTTTCAATCTACATAATTAGAGTAATCTATGTCCTACTCTAGACAAAATACCATCTGGTGTCTAGAATGAAAGAAAAACAACTGTGCGAATATACAAACACCCCCTAAAATAACTATTGGGTAATAGGCTTAGTACCTGGGTGATGAAATAATCTGTACAACAAACCCTCATGACATGGGTTTACCTGTATAACAAACCTGCACATGCGCCCCTGAAACTAAAATGAAAGTTTTTTTTAAAAAAGAAAACACCCCTTAAAGCATGACCCTGGCTCAAAGAAGATGCTGTCTAATCAAGATTTTGCTAGAAAAAGCCACCTACTAAGACATAGCAGATAAACCACCTGAGAGAGTGAGGAAACTGGGGCTCCTCTTTCTTGGAAATCAGTATAGGTGTGGATTTCTACCTGATGTATACATACAGTACGATTTAAGAAAACATGCCTTGTTATACTTGATTTGTCTCTTATTTGCCTTCAGAACTAGAGCTATGGGTTGGAGATAAGCCAATTTCAGCAGTTGAAACAGGTTATTTGTTCCTCTCCTATAAATTACCCGACTGTGTGCATTGAAATAACCACAATGATTACACCCAGAATGTTGAAATGAGCATTTATTTGACAAATGAGGTTAGTGGGAGTCTGTAAAAATGAGTGATAATCTCCCTCTTTCCCCAACAGCTGCGTCCCAGGGTAGGTCATAATCACATCAGTCTTTCTTCTCCATGGTGCATGTGGCAGTGCATGTGTTGGGCATGGCTCTTGGATTGTGGCTTGGTGACTGCTAAATTCCCACAAAGGCCTTTTTTGGGAGAAAGTGGAGGTGCAGAGCTTGCTCTCATTTGCCATTCAAATTTGCAGATTACTGGCCAGGCATGGTGGCTCATGTAATCCCAACACTTTGGGGGGCCGAGGCAGGTGGATCACCTGAGGTCAGGAGTTCGAGACCAGCCTGGTTAACATGGTAAAACCCCATCTCTACTAAAAATACAAAAATTAGCCAGGCGTGGTGGTGTACACCGGTAATCCCAGCTATTCGGGAGGCTGAGGCAGGAGAATCGCTTGAACCAGGGAAGCAGAGGTTGCAGTGAGCCAAAATTGTGCCATTGCACTCCAGCCTGGGCAACAAGAGCAAAACTACATCTCAAAAAGAAGAGAAGAGAAGAGGTTTAATATTTACTAATATGACATGAGCCAAGATCACCCCACTGTACTGCAGCCTGGATGACAGAGCAAGACTCCATCTCAAAACACACACACAAACACACACACACACACACACACACACACACACACACAAAACAAATACAGATTACAATACATCACTTGCAATAACCAGAATATGTCCTGGGCTGCTTTTACTAGTTTTACTTTCATTTAGCTTCTATTGTGAAGAATAGGTCCCTGTTCCTTGTAGTCCCATCTCCCTGGGGTTGCTACCTACTAAGTGTTAGACATGTGTTACTCTTAGTTAGACATGTATTAATTTACCAATAAGGTTGCCCATGAGTTGGATCAATTGCTTACCAAAGAAAAGTTTACTGACACAAAAATATAAAATATAAACACTGTTTTGGGTTATCTTGTAAATAGTACAAAGTTAAGTCATTTATATTAAAAAATATTTAAAATAAATTCAATATCTAAGTCTAAAATATATTCAACTTGATTTGCACATTACCTTTTATCAAGGCAAGAAAATTATGATTATAATCTTTGATAAAATACTAAATTAGTGATTAAAATAATATATGTACATTTTATTTTGTGAAAGGCAAATTACTAAGAAAATAGATTCTGTATTATTATTAAAACTATCATCATCACTGTTATTTATACATGATACCACATAGCTCAGATGTACTTACAATTTCAGTTGATGCATATGGGGAGGGGGAAGTATTAATAATTCTAACATCATTTCTGGCTCCAGGGCACAGCTGTGCAGTGGTGCCCTCACCTATAGCTTCATCAAGATTAATTTACAAGCATGCATTTATCAGTATTTAATAGCATATTTTTGTTTCTGTACTCTAGCACAATATAAAGAATATATCGAAAGTAAATTCTAAAAGGTATCCTTCGTTGGTAAAAAAAATTTCATTATACAGCTTCTGTACAATGTTTTAATCTATGCCATCATATTCAAAAATTTTTAGTAAAATTTCCCACCCCTAACCTTATATACAACCTATAGTTACCTTATCTAATCTTAGATTATCATAGTCAAGGCAGGACTATGTATACATATGCTTGTCTAAAATTTACAATAAACCTGCAACATTCTGTAAACAATGTCACTTTGCTTTCTGTGCCTTCCTGGCTAACATTGTTACTTTTTTTCCTCTAAGAAATCCAGTGATCAGATTGCAACAAAATGCATGTCATATAAACGAACACAAACACAATCATCCTCTAAATGTATTTATGATCTTTTTATAGTAGCAATGTGAGTATAATTGTGAATTAAGAGATAAAACTCTATAATTTTAGTTCTGTTACATAACATGCTAGAAACTGATTTCTGCCTCTCTGAAAATGCTTACTGCATGTCTTAGAATTTAGCAACATTAGCAAGTGCCTAGGAACATCAAAATGTTTATTATTTGGGACTTTAAATGGGCATCAACATTAAATCATGTGTTTCCAGTTTCCATTTAAAGATAATTTATTTTCATACTACAAATCATCCTTTTCTCATATAATCATCGTATTTCCTTGTTATCAATAAGACTTCTAATAACAAAAATATACCACTTTTTTTCATTTTAAAAAAATGCTTGGGGCCAGGCACAGTGGCTTATATCTGTAATCCCAGCACTTAGGGAGGCTGAGAGAGGTGGATCACCTGAGGTCAGGAGTTCGAGACGAGCCTGACCAATATGGTGAAAACCCATCTCTACTAAATATACAAAAATTAGCTGCATGTGGTGATGTGTGCCTGTAGTCCCAGACTCGGGAGGCTGAGACAGAATTGCTTGAACCCGGGAGGTGGAGGTGGCAGTGAGCCAAGATCGCACCACTGCACTCCAGCCTGGGCGACAGAGCAAGATTCCGTCTCAAAAAAAAAAAAAAAAAAAAAAAGCTTGGCTTTGAAGCTATGAGTCTGTATTTTTCCTACTGTGACTTTAGTTTTTAAATAGATTTTCTACCCACATTGTATATCTTTTACCCATTCAAGTTTATAATCTATCTTGCTTTCTAAAGAATCACACACTTTTTTCTCCACAAGTTGCAATTACCTATCATTTGCATATAAAATTAAATAATTTAGATTTTTTGAAATAATATGTGAGGCTAAAATATTGCTTGCCAATGCTCCAAACAAAAATGATTACTTTTAAAATGGTATCGACTAGCAATGTGTGAATTACCATCAAAAGCAGCCTGGTGGGATTTCATTTATGTTCCAAAATTCTTAGAGAAACCCAGTAGGAAAAACAAAACAAAACAAAACAAAAACAAAAACACAGTGGAAGTGATCCCCAAATGCTCCTCATTGAGTTATTCTCTTAGAAAAGCTTCTGGAAAGTCTGTCTACAAAGGTAAAGGGTTTGGTCTTTTTGTATAGTTCCTAAGATGCCACAGTAGCCTCACAGCTGTCTGTCGCAGCTTGCTGTTTCCCAGAATGAGAATAAATGAGTGGCACGAGGGAAAGACATGTAAGACTAACATGACAAACTGTGTGTACTTGTTGTTCCCCAATATACAAAATGTCCAATTTGCCACTTGTAAGGAAAAAAAATGAACTATGAATAGGAAAAGGAAAGACATCACCATTTTCATGGCCCTCCTGTGGGCCTCTGTGCTGGAGTCTCTAGAGCCCAAGGAACAAAGCTTCAAATTTCTAGTATGTCTCACCAAGGACAGAAATAAAAAAAGCAATGAGGTCAGGCACAGAGAAAAGGGGATAAAACTGTTCAAGCTAAGAAGAGTTTTTAACAGAGAGAGTTTATCATAGGGAGTTTTACTTTCATCTAAGTATAAAGTCAGATTACTTTTATCTATTATATTCAGTGAGATATCAATAAACATTTCTAGCACTAAACAGTCAAATATCAGTAAGAACAAAGACAATGTAAGGAGTATAGCAATCACTCTGTTCATCCTCCACCTCAGCCAGAGGAAAAGGGAGTAGGGGAAGTGGGCTATCTTAAAGAAATAGAAAATGCTCAGGCAGGTGGCAAGCCAGGTGGTCAAGTGATTAGTCATGTACCAAAGCACAGTAACAGGTCTTCCTACTCTATCTGTGGCATATAAATGTGGAGCAAGTCCCGCTACATATGAATCAAACAGTATCACCAACAGGTGACCAATTGTGGAGATAGCCAAGCAGGTGAGGATGAAGTCAACTGAGAAGACCTTTTGGTTCTTGATCCCTTCAGAGCAGTTTACCAGTCCAATGAACACATTCCCCAGCATGCCGATGATGAATTCCACTATTGCCAGAGTCAGAAAGATTTTGTCCAATTCGGTGGCCATTTCCAGAGACCAAAAAAATCCAAGTTTTTAATACTTTGCGTCATTAATAAATTTACAATCAAACTATTGCAGAAGAGCATTCATTTCTGATACTTATCTTCATTGCTTTTATTGCACTTCCAGTCTTGATCAGAACCTTCTGCTGTTGGATACAGTCTCATATACTTAAGGAAGTCTTTGCCTGTTTTTACTATAATTCTGATCTTAATCCCAAAAGATCTACCAAGGAATGCAGTCTCACATACCTTCACGAAAGTGTTTTCATTTCTTTGAAAGAGTTACTGAATTCTAAACCCAGCAGTTTCTGTGTCCATTTATCACTGGCATGGGCTGAAACTTTCCACTTGTGGTAATGACTGAAAGGATAAAGTCAAGTATATTAACATGCAAATATAGGCTAAATCCCGCCCACCTTCTCTGATTTGTACATTTCTGCTCACCTGAAATACTACACCACTTGGATCCAAATATCTTTATTGTTTTTCAGAGGAAGCTGTAGATATAATCTAATAATGTTGTTATTATGCAAGGAATATATTTTATAAGTGACTGCTTTGCTTCTGACCTTATGCAAATGCAACATATTTACCACAAAAAAAGCATTAAGAAGTCTATAAAATAGTGAAAACAGAAAAAAAAAGCAATTAGACAGAATCAAGAATCAAATGTACTATTAAATCAGAAAAGGGAACTACAAACACTACTGTCGGGGGGGAAAGGGAGGTGACATTTGCCTTGGATCTGGAAAATACTTAGAATTTCATGAGGAAACTCAAGTCATATTTTGAACTGATAGAATAATATCCAAAAGACACTAAAACCTAAACTACTTTTTTGAAATTAAAGTCCTACTGATATTTCAGTCTAAATGTTCCTCAGGTATCTTAGAGTAACTTGTTCAAAATTATACATAGTTTTGCTTTTTACCTTGGTCTTATATATGTTCTATTTTTTTTTTTTTTTTTGGCCAGAGATATATTGCTACCAATTTAGCCTTAATAGACAGGTAGAAAATTGTTGTAGATGAAATAAGGAAAGAGTAAACAAAAGTATTTGTTCTACATTCTAGGAACAATTATTTTGACAAAACCACCAATGCATCATAATTGAACTCACAGTTACAGATTATGTGTCTTGGTTTATGATCAGCAAACAGATATTCTATTACTAGAAATTAGTGTTCAAGTGTTGCCAGACAAATTAACCCAAAAAATGAATGAAATCATTTTTAAAACTTAGACCTTTTTAATGTTGCTGTCATACTCCTCAATTAAATTCTATTAACATTTAAAAGTGTATATTTTAAGAATGATGTTGTATAAAGAACTACTGGTAAGTTATTTCCTATGAACGAAAATATTTTCATTTAGGGCAGATATTTAAAATTATAGTAAGAAAGGAGGAGAAAAAGAGTAAACAAGAAAAGAAGGAAAGAAAGAAGAGAGAGAGGGAAGAAAGAGAGTGAGAAAGAGGAAAGGAAGAGAGGGACAAAGAGAAAGGAGGGAGTTTATGAGACAGAGAAAGGCTGAATGAAAATGAAGAAATGTAGCAATATCATAAGAAGAATGATGGCTTTGGCCAAATTAGTGTCTAGAGATGGAAAGAAATGTATGGCTATGAGAAATATTTAGGAGAAAGAATCAATAGTCTGCGTGATGGATTTGGAGGCTAGAAAAAGGAGGAGGAGTCTGTGATGACATTTAGGCTCTCCTTTCACTCCTGAATGCATGTAGTACTGTGACCTGAGGGAATCACTGGAGGAAGAATAGGTTTAGAAGCCAAAAAGTAGGAGAAAGAAGAAAAGTTGGAAGATTAGTTCTGTTTTGAACATTTTGGAGTATCTGTAAACTCATTCCAAGTGGAAAGTTGAAGTAGGCACTTTGATATTCGTGACTGCAGCTCAGAAAAGAAATTTGGACCACATGTGGAGGTTTGGAGAACATAAACACATATTTGATTTTATAAGAGGTAGGCGCTCCAAGGGTCCTTAAGAACACCAGAGGATAAAGAAACCAAAGGAAAAATTAAGAAGTCATCAGAAGGAAGAGGAAAACCAAGAGACTAGGATTTCAAAGCAACTAAGAGCAAGGAGTGTTACAAGGAGGGTAATCAGTACTTCATGATATTAATGATAAGTCACTTACTAGCTGGATTGAGGACCAAGGAACTACTTAGTTAACTTAGCAAGAGCAGTTCAACTGACAACAAAGCAAACTACCACAGATTAAAGAGTCAATGAGATCCCAATAATGAAGCATTATAAAACCAATTAAAGTAATTCAACACATTAACAGATTAAAGGAGAAACATTCAGAAAAATATTTGATACAGTTCTGCATCTGTTCACAATTATTCTTAGCAAACTGGGAATCAAATGAAATACTCTATTTCCTGATAGATAGTATTTAAAAAAAAAAAAACCTAGAGCAAATATTATAGCTATCAATGATACATTGAAATCCTTCTCCCTGAGTTTAGGACCCAGTCAGTGATAACCATCTTACCAGGTCTTATTTTAAGGCTTCTACTGATCAAAGTAAGGCAAGAAATATACATTTTAAGAAATTATAGGCTGGACATGGTGGCTCACCCCTCTAATCCCAGCACACTGGAAGGCAAAGGCAGGAAGATCACTTGAGCCCAGGAGTTCAAGACTAGCCTGGGCAACATTGTTAAAAATTAGCTAAGCTAATTTTTAATCTGCAAACATCTTTTGCATTTCTCTATACCATCAACAGTTTAAGTCTGAAAATACTTTAACTTTTTTGCCCATATAATTAGCTTATAATTAATACATATTGAATATAATCAAACATTCCAGAGTTTTAACAAAATTAAACCATTATCACACTCTTGTTCTCACTTTGGATGTTATTCAAGAACATTAAGCTCTCTGACTGTGTCATTAGATATATTCAGTTTTCCTGCTTGGTATCTTAATTATAGACTGTTTTCCAGTCTAAAGAAGTACCTCTAATATTGTATCAGCCATCCCTCTCTCCATGAAGACCAGCCCTGCTCCTTTCACCTAGTCCAGTCACTCAATATTTTTTTCTTTTTCAAAAGCTATGGACTCTACTTTTCCATGTAGGGTGATGGGTAACAAGAGAGTTTCTCCTTCACTATTATGCAAACACAGACCAATATTGTTACTCCTTTTGCATTTTCTTTGCCTAACAAATTTCCATCTGTATCTTTAGCTGTGGAAGATCTAGAGGAAGAATTTACAGATTGTGAATATTAAAATCCAAACTAAAAGTCTCTTCATCCAAGTATGTGAGAAAAATATTGGTCAGAATCTTGTTCAGAATAGGAGGAAAAGTATCTGTGGCATGCGTTATAGTCTTTCAATGGGCAGAGTAGTGGTTTGACCACTTACAAATATACAAATATGGATTGTACCTTATTCTCTGTTTTGTCCACAGGTACCAGGGGAATCTATACCTGAAGCACTACTGGAGTCAAGGTATAAAACACCTGTGTTCTCTTATCTAATAAGTCTAAGAATTGAACTGCAAAGGATTTTAGTTTGCCAGAACTTGTCCTTCATATGTTAACATAAAGGATGTTGGTACTAGTTAGACTGCTTCTTGCCAGTGTGAGGGTAGTAACTGATATGCTATTTATGCCCACTTGTTCAACTGTATCTCTTTTGAAATACCTGAGTGATTTTTGAAATGAACCAAGAAATTAGTTGAAACTAAATAATATCTGAGGGAGAAATTATATACAACTTCAGTGATTATCTTAGTCTATTTGTGCTGCTATAACAGACTGTCACAAACTGGGTACTTTATAAAGAAGAGAAATTGATTTCTCACAGTTTGGGAGGATGGAAAGTTCAATATCAAGGTGCTAGCCTCTGGCAGAGGCCTTCTTGCTGCATCATCCCATGGCAGAAGGGCAAAGAGGGGGAGACAGAGACAGAGAGTAAACTCACACTTTTAAAAGAAACCAACTCACGTGATGACAAACCCACTCCTGTGATAACAGCATAGATCCATCCATGGGGGTGATGCCTTCATGACCTAACACCTTTTAAAGGTTCCACCTCCCAATACCTCCAGGCCTCCAACGAGGTGAACTTTGTGGGACACATTCAAATCATAGCATTTCACCCCTGGGCCCCCAAATTTATGTCCTTCACACATGCAAAATACATTTCCTCCATTTCAGTAGCCCCCACATTGTAACGCATTCCAACTCCAACTTAAAATTCCAAAGTCCAGAGTTTCACCCAAGTCAGATATGGATGACACTCAAGGCACAATTCATCCTGAGGCAAATTCTCCAGCCATGAGCCTGTGGAATCAAAACAAGTTACCTACTTCTAAAATTCAATGGTGGGACAGGCATATGATAGACATTTCCATTCCTGGGAAAAATAGGCAAGAAAAGAGGGGCAATTGGCCTTAAGTAAGTCCAAAACCCAGCAGGGCAAACCGTATTAAATCCTAAGGGTTGAGAATAGTCTTTGACTCCATGTCCCACCTTCTAGACCCACTGGGTCAGGGATTGGGCCCCCAATTCCCCAGGCAGCCTCACCTCCACAGCTTTGCTTATCTCAGTTCACTCCTGAGCAGCTCTCACAGGTTGGAGTTTTGTGCCCGTAGCTCTCCCAGACAAGTGTTATGAGGCAGCACAGGGCAGTGAATGCTGAGGTCTGTCAGGCACCTCTCTAGAAGCCTTGCCCTTAAGGTCCTAACTTGCCTCCATGATCTGGGAAATGTCTTCCAGGTCATTCTCCCATTGTCTTATGAATAGAACTCGACTTTCTTCCAGCCAGAAAAATCTTTTCAGCAAATGACCACTTGGCCAAATCCTTCTTATTCTCTCCCAAACATGCTTTTAAATTCTTTATATGGCCAGGCTGAGAATTTTCCAAATTTTTCTATTAGTCTTCACTGTATATTATAAATTCCATCTTTAAATCATTTCTCTCTCCTCACATTTTACTATATGTGCTTGAAAGAAGCCATGCAGCCCACTGAATGCTTTGCTGCTGAGATGTTTCTTCCATCAGATATCCTGGTTCACCTCTCTTAAATTACCTTCCATAAAGCCATAGGGCATGAACAGAATTCTGCCAAGTATTTTTGCCACTTCATAATAAGGATGGTCTTTACTCCAGTTTCCAGTAAGACATTTTTCTTTTCCATCTAAGACCTCGTCAGAATGGTGTTTACTCTACGAACATTCTCCTCAGAACCACAAAAGTAATCTCTAAGAAGTTTCAGACTTTCCCTACAGTTATCCTCTCCTTCTGAGCCCTCACTGAAATCGCTCTCAATGCAAAATTTATGGCAATCTAGGCTTTTTCTAGCCTGCTCCTCCCTTACTAATTTCTTGTCTTAGCCTGCTTTGTGCTGCTGCAACAAAATACCACAAACCAGGCAAATTATAAAGAAAGAAATTTATTTCTCAATTCTGGAGGCTGGGAAGTCCAATATGAAGGTGCCAGCATCTGGTAAGGGACTTCTTACTGTGTCATCTTATGGGAGAAGGGCAAAAAGAGAGAGAAAGAATGAGAATGAGGCTTAACTTGTCCTTTTATAAGGAATCTGCTCCTGTAATAACAAACCCACTACTCAATAATTGTATTAAGCCATTTACAAGGTTTGTGCCTTCATGACCTAAACAATTCTTAAAGTTTCGACTTCCAAAAACCTCCACACTGGGGATCAAGCTTCTAACACATGAACTTTGAGGGACATATTCAAACCATAGCAGCCATGTATTTTATTAATCATAAAAAACAATAGTAACAACAGCAATAATAAAAGGTATCATTTCTAGAACTCTTACTATATGCCTGGCTCTGAGTAAAATGATTGACTTGCATTTGTGCATGTATTAACTTAAGAAAATGCATGACAACCAACGAACATATGAAAAGAAGCTCAACATCACTGATCATTCAAGAAAAATTAATCAAAACCACAATGAGATATCATCGCACACCAGTCAGAATGGCTATTATTAAAAAGTCAAAAAATAAATGCCAGTGAAGTTGTGTAGAAAAAGAAGTGCTTATACACTCTTGGTGGGAGTGTAAAGTAGTTCAGCCATTGTGGAAGACAGTGTGGCAGTTCCTCAAAGACCTAGAGACAGAGCTACCACTTGACCCAGCAATCCCATTACTGGGTATATACCCAGAGGAATATAAATCATTCTGTTATAAAGACACATACATGCAAGTGTTCATTGCAGTGCTGTTCATAATAGCAAAGACATGGAATCAACCCAAATGCCCATCAATGATAGACTAGTAAGGAAAATGTGGTACGTATACACCAAGGAATACTATGCACCCATAAAAAAGATTAAGATCATGTCCTTTTCAGGGATATGGATGGAGCTGGAGGCCATTATCTTCAGCAAACTAACACAAAAACTGAAAACCAAATACTTCATATTCTCACTTATAAGTGGGAGCTAAATTATGAGAACACATTGACTCATAGAGGGGAACACCACACACTGGGGCCTCTTGGAGGGTGGAGGATGGAAGGATAAAGAGGATCAGAAAAATAACTATTAGGTAGTAGGCTTAATTCCTGGGAGATAAAATAATCTGTACAACAACCCCCTGCAGCACAAGCTTACCTATGAAACAAACCTGCGTATGTACCCCTGAACTTAAAACTTGATTTGTGGGTGTGTCTGCGATGCTGTCTGAAAGAGATTAGCATTTAAATTGTTAGACTGAGAAAAGAAGATCATCCTCAACAATGCAGGTGGGCTTCCATTCATCTCTGGCCCCACTGCTGGGTCTGAGGACCATTCTTGGGATAGATGTAATTTAAAGCTGACATAGTGTTAAATGGTTGCATGAGAACCATGTCTTGGGTGCTTTGGATTCAGATCTTTGTCATCTCTTGGGGGAGCATAGTAGAGCTAGATATCAGAGTTCCCTTCTACTGATTTATTTTAGCATCAATCATGTTATACCTAGTGAACATGGCTCCTTCCACCTCCATCTGCTTCTGTTCATGGGAACCAAACTTCTGGTCTCTCTCTTTCTCCAAGGGTATGTGTTAGGGTGTGGGGGCAAGTGATTGCTTTCACTGATTTATTTCTTCTTATTTCATAGGCATAAGGAAGGGGGATCGAATAACTATTGGCTCAAGGAGCCATATTTAAGAAAGCAAACATTTGTTTTCTAAGTGAGTCATACCACTTGCATATAGTTAATTTTAGTTAATTTTTAAAAATTGAGGCAACTCATACCTATTATTGAAATCCAACTATACAGAATATACATTCTTCTCAGCACCACATCGCACTTATTCCAAAATTGACCACATAATTGGAAGTAAAGCACTCCTCAGCAAATGTAAAAGAACAGAAATTGTAACAAACTGTCTCTCAGACCACAGTGCAATCAAGGGGGAGGGAATTGCATTGGGAGTTATACCTGATGTAAATAGACGGAGTTGATGGTGCTGACGAGTTGATGGGTGTAGCACAGCAACCCCCCCCCCCCT